ATGAAACCCCATGCAAGCCTAAACTAGGAACTTGTGTGGTTTGCTTGTACATATATACTTGTGCATAACATCATGGACATCATGAACATCATATGCATTCACTAACCATTTCAAGGATTTTGGAGATTCATCTTTGTTCTTGTTTTGTAGGTTATGGATTCACTTCGCAGGAAAACTATCCAAATCAACCTTGTAAGAATTCCTCCAAAACTCAAGGAGCTAGCTTCAAGGATTCCTGAGAATTCTCCATTCACCGAGAGGCATGGTCGTCTACTCAACTTGGTCACTTCCAACACAGAGGAGGATATGATGAAGGTTCTCTTCCAGTTCTTTGACCCTTTGCATCACTGCTTCACATTTCCTGACTACCAGCTTGTGCCCACTTTGGAAGAATTCTCTCAACTTCTGAGGATTCCTATTCTCAATTAACTACCCTTCAACGGTACGGAAAGAGATCCAAAGCCAGAAGAGATTGCTTAAGCCCTGCACTTGCACTCATCTGATGTCGCAACACATTGGGAAACTAGAAGTGGTGTCAAAGGCTTCTTGTCAAAGTTTCTATTTGAGAAGGCCCAAAGCTGTTGGAATTCCCTAGACTTGCAAGCTTTTGAAGAGATTGTAGCTCTTCTCATCTATGGGATGGTCTTGTTCCCTAATTCTGACCAACTCATAGATGTGAGCGCTGTCAAAATCTTCATGTCTCGCAACCCGGTGCCTACATTGCTTGGGGATATCCTCCACTCTTTTCACACTCGTACAATGAGGAAAAGAGGTGTTCTTATGTGGTATACTCCTATCATGGCAAGATGGTTTATTTCTCATCTTCCCCGATCAGTCTTGAAGAATGAGCAAGGTTTGAGGTGGTCACAAAGGTTAATGACACTGAAACATTCAGATATCCATTGGTGTTCTCGATCTAAAGAGAATGTTACCATTGTTGACCGTTGTGGGGAATTCCCTAATGTCCCTCTACTTGGCATTAGGGGAGGCATCACCTACAACCCATGCTTAGCTCTAAGACAGTTTGGTTATGCCCGAAGGGATGGCCCACATGATATGCTGATTCAAGGATTGGTTTTCGACTATGACAACGACGACCAAGGACTCCACCAGAGATTCATCCAAGCTTGGAGGATGCCAAAAAAGGTGGATAGCAAGACTTTGGGACACAAGAATTCCATCCCTCTTGAGCCTTACCTCAAGTGGGTACGAACCCGCGCTCAAAGTCTTATGATGCCTTATCCCTCCATCCTCCCAGTGATTATAAATCCTGTAAAGGAAGGAGAGGTTCCATACACCATCCTACATCCTGACATGCCAACATCACTCGAAGATCTGCAAAGAAGTTGGATACAGCTCAAAGGAGAGCGCGATACTTTCAAAGCCCAATTCTACCCAAGCGAGAAGAAGGTTTTTGAACTCACTCGGCTACTTCATGAAGAGCAGACTCTCAACACCTACATTGCACCAAAGAGGATGCGCAACGTCTTTTTACCTTAGAATTTTGTATTATTTTGCCCAAGCGGCATTGATGTACTCAAATTCTATTTTAATTAATATGACGTGTGTTTATTTTTTGTTTTAAAATGAATGTGAATTTCTAAATCCTTGAAAGAATTGCATGAATACATATCATTAATCATAAGCATAAACAGGTCTTTGCAACAAGTTCCCTCATCTCTCTACTGTTTATTTCAGCAAGATGGATATCGAACAAACGATCAAAGATCTGCAAGCTCAGAATTCACAATTTCAACAGTTACTCATGACCTTAGCCAAGGGGAAAGAGGAGCTGAAGAATCTGCTAGAGAAAGAGAAAGAGAAAGAGAAAAAGAAGAAGAAGCCAACTGGTGTGGTAATCATGGGCAGAAGATTTCAGGGACAAGCCAGAAGGACCTTAGAATTTCCAACAACATCTGAAGAATGGGGAAGAAAAGGAAAAGAAACGACAGTACCATCAAATTTTGAAGAAGAAGAAGAGGAAGAGGAGGACTACTCTGAACAACAATAACCTCATGCTGATGACAAGTACAAACACCTTGAAGAGCGACTAAGCGCTATGGAAATCCAGAGAGTACCAGGGCTAGACTTTGAGGAGTTGGGGCTGGTGTCAGGAATTGTGATCCCGCCAAAGTTTAAAGTGCCACTGTTTGCCAAGTATGATGGGGTGTCTTTCCCTAAAATGCACCTCAGATCCTATGTCAGGAAGATTCAACCACACTCTTCAGACAAAGACCTATGGGTCCACTTTTTCTAAGACAGTTTATCAGGAACGCAACTTGATTGGTTCTACCAATTGGAGAGGGCAGAAGTCCACAATTGGGAGGACCTGGAGGCAGCTTTCTATAAACAGTATCAATACAACACCGACTTGACGCCTACCCGTACTCAGCTGCAAGGTATGGCTATGGTTTCTAATGAGGGCTTTAAAGATTACGCGCAAAAGTGGAGAGACCTAGCCGGAAGGGTACAACCCCCTCTATCTGAGAGGGAGTTGGTGGACATGTTCTTGGGAACTCTATCAAGTCCTTTCTTCAATCATCTGATTGGGAATTCCTCTGCAGGGTTTACCAAATTGATATTAACCAACGAAAGAGTGGAGGCTGGTATAAGAAATGGGAAAATTCAGAAGGACGCGCCTGCCTCAACATCTGTGAAAAAGAACTTCATTGGAAGAAAGGAATTATTTGCTGTCTATTCACAGAGAAATCAGGGAAGAACCGAGCGCCAACCAACAGTGGGGGCCGTTATGATTCCGAAGCCTGCATCAGACCAGCCAAGAACCAATCAGCAAAGGGTAGAAAGGCCAGTTCAACAATTTACCAAGATTAACATGACTCCAGCCCAAGTTCTACCACATCTCTTGAAGTTGAATCTGGCAACTCTAAAAGAGGCCCCAAAGAATCATAATACTGTTTCTCCATATTACCATCCCAACGCCAGATGCGCGTACCATTCCGAAAGTCCAGGGCACGACACCAATAACTGTTGGGCTCTGAAGAATAAGATTCAAGACCTAATAGACGCGAAGGAAGTTGAGATTGAAGCGCATGAGAAACCGAATGTTATTTCCGCCCCAATGCCAAGGCATGGTCACAATGCCAATGTTATTTAGGAAGACCTGTTTCTTGCTACCGTGGATGAATCGTTAACTCCGCTCCCGTCTATTAAGTTGAATTTGTTGAAAGCTGGTATTTTCCTAGGTTGTGACAAAGACTGCCATGTTTGCCTGTCCTCATCATTTGACTGCCCTCTGTTGAAGAAAGGAATCCAACAACTGATTGATAACCAAGAAATTTTGTTTGAGAAAGCTCTTATTTCACCCGTTCCAATTAAAGAAGTTTCAATAATAACCATCTACGCCAATCCTTCCAGGGCCCCTTGTTGTACCCCAATTTTTGACCTAAGATCCCATTTTTTATTTTTGCATTTTTTTAAGATAAGTCAAGGTCACGAAATACGGTCGGTTTTAACGTCTCACCTTCGAGCTTTGACTATGCGAAGATTATCAAGTGTTTTGAACATTTTTAGCATATGTATCACTAATTTATAATCGCATACAAAGGTGTATGTTCATGTTTTCTTTTGTTTCATGTGCAGAGACAGGTCTGGATCAAGAGCATCAAGTGTCGCGCCTCAATTAAGGTTTTGAGTCTCCCAAGCCAGAAGTACGGTTGATTGTGGATTCTCGAAGACTGATTCATCAAGGCACAACTGTTGCACCCTAAATTTCGCCCCTAATTTTTTCAGTCGCACATTCATACCATATTTTGTCACTTGGTCACAATCATTAGTAAATACCATTCATCACATTTTGCATCATTAGTCGTATTTAAGTTGATCAGAAAAAGTCAGTTTAAATCAAAGTTTGCATCGTCTTTCAGTTGTAAAATACTCGGCGTTTCACATCATTCATTTTTACCTGTTCACTATTTTCTTGAATGGATCCAAGTTGTTTATATGTCGATAATCAAAATATTTCAGTTTTATAGACAAATTGTTAAAAGCGATTCGGTATTGTGCGAAAATTAGCGAGAAAAATATTTCAAGTTTTCATCTTTTACTGATCATTTTTATGAATCTGAGTTTCGCGTAGATAATGACGGTATATTCGCTTCATTTTTTCGGTACAATTTGAAGTCTCGTTTTAACCGTAAATGTTTGTTCAGCCTGATATTTTTATTCTCATTTTATTTCGATTTTGGTCATTTGAATATTTTTTTATTAATCTTTGAGACAGGTAGTTTATTTTAATGTGTTCACTTCATTTTTTCGGTTAGATTTTTGTCCATTTTTCATCGTTTTTAGTCATTTTCGGGTCTCTATTTTTTAGTCAGAAAAATTCAAAAAAATTATTTTAAATTGCATTACTTTTTGCTCTTTCAGTTTTTACGTTATTTTTATCATTAAAGAGATTTTTGGTCATTAAAATTGTTTTTGAACTAAGCTTTATTTTGATTGGTTGATAGAAGTTGTGCAGGATTAATGAAAATTGGTGAACGGATCAGATTGCAAACTGAAATAATTTCCTCTTCTTTTTTCTTCTTCTATTTAGTAGCTCATTTCTTACCTTTGTTGAGAGAGGAAACAAAAACACACAACAAAAAAAATACACCAACAGTAACATTTTGAACCCATCTTCTATCTAACTCCCTCTAATTTCTTCACTCAGGAACCTCCCTCTCTCTGCGAAATAGTAACACCAAACCCCAATATCCCTTCTTCCTCTGAACATCACCATCCAAAATCATCCCCTTCAATGTCTCTCGCTACAAACAGTAATCTCCCAATGATTTCAACATCACTTCCTCTCCTTCTCAAAATCACGCCCGCTCTCACCACTGCCGATTTCGTTCTGACATCATATCTGTCACCTTGCTCCGTTCATCACAGCTTCAGTCCACCTTCGACAATCAACAAAAACGATTCTCCGATCTCTTTGCTCAAATCTCTCCGTCAATGCCTCTAATTCCATCTCTCACCTAGCTGAGAAGTGTGTTATGGCTTCTTCGGGTTTTCAAGCTGATGTGAAGGCTTTGCAGAAGGTTTTGTCTGCTAGACATTTGACATATCAGCATCAGCACAACAAGCAGATGAGCTGCCCTGCAATGGCTCAGTTGCTTTCAAACACACTTTATTACAAACCCTTCTTTCCTTATTATTCTTTTAATGTGTTGGGCGGCCTTGACAGTGAAGGAAAGGGATGTGTCTTCACATATGATGTTGTTGGTTCCTATGAGAGGGTAGGATATAGCTCTCAAGGTTCTGGATCCACTCTCATCATGCCTTTTCTTGATAACCAACTGAAGTCCCCCAGCCCACTCCTTTTGCCTGCCTAGGATGCTGTTACTCCACTGTCTGAGTCAGAAGCAGTTGATCTGGTCAAAACTGTTTTTGCATCGGCATCTGAGAGAGATATATACACTGGGGATAGAGTTGAAATTATGATCCTAAACGCCAGTGGTATTCATCGTGAATTCATGGAGCTAAGAAAAGATTGAAGTCTTTACACAGACATTTATGTTCATGATAGACTTGTATTTGAATGTTTGGAGTGCTCCTAAATTCTGAATGTGGTCAGGGTTTTTCCCAGCCAAAAATTCAGATTTGCCTTCCAATTTGAATCGTTTCTAGTCTGCTGACACTGTAACTACTAGACTGTGCTTTTTTACTTCATATCTGCACTGAATGTTATCCAAACCTCTCTTCAATCAATCCTTCACCCACCGTTCTCCCCTCCCGCAATCGCGCCGTTACTTCTTGCAACACCACCCACTTTTGCTTCCAGATCCACCAACAACCGCCACTATGCGCATCCTTCGCCAGCGCAGATCTCCACCTCCGATAGCCAACACTTACGAAATCGCAACGCAGCCACCGCGCCCCTGTCCGCATTCTAACGAACTGAACAACAACACCGCAAACGACCAACTCTCTCCAACGAAGCCTTTCTACCACTCCGCGCTGCCATCAGATGGAAGGAAAAGAAATCGTGATAGATGATGATTATGAAAAGAAGAATAAGACGATTGAACAGAGGGATAACATGGTATTTGTTTTATTTTTCTTTTGATTGCTTTATTATTGATTAAGTCACATTAAATCTGTCTTTTTAAAATTTATTTTAATCCTACGTGCCATGTGTCGGGACTTAAGTGGATGGTTTTCTTGTTGTTTGAAAACAAAAGATTGAAAAAACCAGTAAAGGTAGCAGTGCCCCCAAAAAAAAATAAAAAAAAATATATTAGTAAATCTTATAATTAATTTAGTTTAATATTAATTTAGAATTCTTTAATTAGTTTAGATTTATTTTATAACTTTAGAATTTTATTTCATTTAGTAAATTTTAGAATTTTAGTTGTTTTAGTTTAGTTTAATAACTTTAGAATTTTATTTGATTTTATTTAACTTTAGAATTTTATTTGTTTAGTTTTAGTTTAGTGACTTTAGAATTTTATTTGATTTCATTTAGTTAACTTTAGAATTTTATTTGTTTAGTTTTAGTTTAGTGACTTTAGAGTTTTTATTTGATTTAGAATTAGTTTAATAAGTTTATAATTTTTATTTAGTTTAATAACTTTAGAGTTTTTATTTGATTTAAATTTAGTTTAGTAGTTTTAGAATTTTATTTGATTTAGATTTAGTTTAGTAACTTTGGAATTTTCATTTGTTTTAGAGTTAATTTAGTAACCTTAGGATTTTAATTTAATCTAGATTTAACTTACTAAATTTTAAAACTTAGGTTTAGTTTAGATCAAATTCAATAATACTAGATTTTTTATAACCTTAGAATTTGTAATTAGTTTAGAATTATTTTAGTAAGTGATTTTTAATTTAGTTCGAATAACTTCTTTAGATAATTAGTTATATTCCTTTTTATTTGTATATTTCTGTCATTTCAATTTCTCTATGCCTCTTGATCATTAATTTGTTTTTGTCAGATTGATTTTCTTGTGAACTTCTGAATGTTTATATTTTGATGTTCATTTTATTTTGCTTACTCCAAGGAAAAGATTTAAATCTTGTTGACTTCACGTCATCAAATACATCTCATCCGATCGTGCGAATACCCTCATTCATTTTTTGCTTATTTACTATTTTTTCCAAACTTAAGATAATTTTTCCAAAAGACTCCATTTTCAAACTCATACTTTTTAAGCCAAAACTTCGACATTAGGTTATCACATCTTCAAAATCTCGCCAACACCCATCTTTAGCCAAACAAACTATTCTAATCAAACAAACAATTTTAAAAATAGATATTCAAAAGGTTCCTGCGGAGTACCGCAGATGCATTGGGTGCTAATACCTTCCCATTGTATAACCAACCCCCGAACTCTCGATCTCTTTTCAAAACGCATTGTATTTTCATTACTTTTAAGTATTATTATACATTGCATATTTTAGGGTTTTATTTCGCTCTTTTCCCTTTTCCCTTGGAAATAATAAAGCGCGGTGGCGACTCTTGCTTTTGCGAGTCAAGTTAATTAATAGCTTGATCTCCGATTTTCACCGCTACACCCCTAAAAGACTCGTTAGGATTACACCTGCTCCAAAGACTACTCCGCTTAAGATTACAATGTCCGGGCCTGCCCCATACAAATCAGATAAATCAGTACCATGGAATTATGGTGGAGAAATCTACTACCATGATATTAAACAGGATGAACTGACTGCCGAAGAAGAGAGATCCGAAGAGGAAAATTCCGACATTAGCAATATTGTTGGAACTAGCAAGATCACCCGCAGTGGTAGGATCTTCTCTCCAGAGATTGCCCCTCCAACGGCAGTCTTTGGACCCGTGGTCGTTCCGAAGATTACCTTTGTACCAGTGATTGTACCTGCAAGCGTACCCGCCGATAAAAACAATGCAATTCCAATCCCTACTTCCACTGCTGAGAATAAAGGAAAGAACGTTCAAGAGGAGCCTGTCCAGACGAAGGCTCAATCACTAGCTATTACTGAAACATCCAAGAAGGAGATGGAAGAAATCCTGAGGATAATCAAGAAGAGTGATTATGATGTGGTCGAACAGTTGGGGAAAACCCCTTCCAAGATATCTATGCTAGCCCTGCTGCTGTGCTCTGAAGCACACGCCAAAGCTCTGGTAAAATTTCTGAAGACAACTCATGTGCCACAAGAGACGTCTGCTGACCAGTTCCAGGACTGTGTGGCTAGTTTGACAACTGATAATGGCCCGGGCTTCTCCGATGCTGACTTGACACCCAGAGGGAGAAAACACAACGAGGCATTACATGTCTCGGTGGAGTGCAGAGGAACAACCCTAGCTCATGTCTTGGTTGATACTGGGTCATCTTTGAACGTCTTGCTGAAAAAATCCCTTGATAGATTGGATTGCGAGGGGCTGACTTTAAAACCCAACAATATAGTGGTGAGAGCTTTTGATGGATCAAAGAGGATGGTCCATGGGGGAGGTGGACATCCCAATAAAGGTAGGAACTCAGATATTCAACTCAACCTTCTATGTGATGGACATCCGTCCTTCTTATTCCTGTTTGTTGGGACGCCCCTGGATCCACAATGTCGGTGCTGTCACCTCCACCTTACATCAGATGCTAAAGTACCCGGTCCAAGGAAAGATCATAACTTTCCATTGGGAGGAGGAGTATATGATTAGTCATCTGAATTCTTTCTGATATGTAGAGTTGGATGGCGAGTTCATAGAGACCCCTTTCCAACATTTTGAAGAAGTATCTGAAGAAATAGCGGTGACCAAGGCGGTATCCTCAATTCCTAAGATCACAAGACCTCCGCTTCGTATGTCTTCTCTAAAGGATGCAAGAGCAGTAGTGGAAGAAGGGGGATGCACAATCTGGGGGTAGCTTCCAGATATTCCCTACAAATCAGACAAGTTTGGCTTGGGGTTTACTTCAACTGGTCAGAAGGCTGTGCACCGTGCCCGTGCTGGGGGGCCACCTGTGAAGATTAGCAACCGAAGCGTCAATGCAGTGGAAGACAATGAGGAGGATGGCAGCTTGGAAGATTGGATATTTCCTACTGTCAGCGAAGGACTTTGCAACTGGGAAGCCAAAGACTTCGTTCCGATAACTTTCATATCTCAGTAATTTATCTTTTACATTTCTGTTGGACTGTAATAATTCACAAACAATTCGCACTTTAAAAACCTTGTGTCTTACCCGAGGCACAATGGTCCATTTGTAAGGGTTTTTATTTCATCTACATATGTCATTCAATGAATCATGGACGCTTTTTCACATATAAACCTTTTGTGCTCATTGTCTTTCTTTTACATTTTGTTGTTTTAAGATGGCTATACCCTTACACACACCCACACTCCCAAATGAAGGTACCCTTCCATTCCGGATCCCATGGGTAACGATACTGCTATAGCCTTCAGTGACTCTGAAGATCTGATCTACCAAGCCGAATACGAAGGTGAGGAAGATTGTGAGGTGCCAGGGGAATTGGCCAGACTATTACAACAAGAGGAAAGAGCAATTCAGCCTCATGAGGAGCTGTTGGATACAATCAACTTGGGTACTGAGGAGGATAAAAAGGAAATCAAAATAGGTGCCAATCTAGAGCCGAGTGTCAAGGAGCGCCTAATTCAGATGTTGCATGATTATGTTGAGATCTTTGTCTGGTCATACAAAGACATGCTGGGACTCGATACAGACATTGTGGTACACCGCCAACCCACAAGAGAAGACTGTCCACCAGTGAAACAAAAAGTCCGTCGTATGAGACCTGACATGTCAGAGAAGATCAAAGCAGAAGTTATGAAACAGTTCAATGCTGGATTTCTGGCTGTTACTTCTTATCCTCAATGGGTGGCCAACATTGTTCCCGTCCTAAAAAGGACGGAAAAGTGAGAATGTGCGTGGATTATAGATATTTAAACAGGGCCAACCCTAAAGATTATTTTCCACTTCCACACATCGACATCCTAGTTGACAATACAGCTCAGCACAAAGTATTTTCTTTCATGGACGGATTCTCAGACTATAACCAGATCAAAATGGCACCTGAGGACATGGAGAAAACTACATTTGTCACATAGTGGGGTACGTTCTGCTACAAAGTGATGCCATTCAGACTGAAGAATGCCGGGGCAACCTATCAACGCGCCATGGTAGCTTTGTTTCATGATACGATACATCATGAGATAGAGGTCTACGTAGATGACATGATATCCCGATCACAAACTGAAGAAGAACACCTTGATCACTTGCAAAAGCTGTTTGCCAGATTGAAGGAGTACAAGTTAAGATTGAACCCAAACAAGTGTACATTCGGAGTCCAGTCCGGTAAACTCTTAGGTTTCATTGTCAGCAACAAAGGCATCGAGGTTGATCCTGCCAAAGTCAAAGTGATACAAGAAATGCCTGCTCCTCGCACTGAGAAGGAAGTCAGAGGTTTTTTGGGACGCCTAAACTATATTTCTAGATTCATTTCTCACCTAACATCTACTTGTGAACCAATCTTCAAGCTACTGAAGAAAGATCAAGTAGTCAGATGG